TCCGAGGCCACCTTCGCTGTTCAGCTGCTCCAGATCCCTCCCTGGACAGACTCAGGTGACCTCTGCGCCAGACCCTGCCTGGAGCTGCTCTCCTGGGTCTCACTCTGCGGGGGCGGAGGGGCGCGGGCAGCAGGCAGAGGCCCAGGGACCTGGTGGGCAGGGGTCACAGGCTGTGGGCGTGGTCCCCGTCCCCCGGGTGCGCCCCAAGGCGGCAGAGGAATCCTGTCTAAGCCTCTCCCACCTCCGAGGACCCCCACGCCCGTGGACCCCCAGGCCCAGAGCTCAGGAGACTCAGGGGGTGGGCTCCAGGGGTCGCAGCTCCTCCTTCCAGAGCCCTTCCCTCCTTCCTCCAGCTGTCCTGCTGGGGTGGCCACGTCTGTCCAGCCAGTGGCCGGCTCCCATCCCAGGCAGAGCCAGCTCCCAGCCACCTGCTCCGCAGCTGCTCCAGGCCCGCGCCTCCCACCAACCCACCCTGTCCAACGGAGGAGGCTGGGAGGCCCAGAGAGGCTGAGTCACACAGCTGGGCTGGGAGCCAGGCCGCGGCCTCCGAGGGCCTCACACAGCTGGCCCTGGACACGGCCCTGCTGCTGGCCTGGCCTCCACTCTCTGCGGGGCGGGGCGGGCCCAGCAGGGGAGGCCGGCAGCGGGCGTGAGAGCCTCCTGGTGGAGGCTGTCGGCCTCGGTCACGGTTTTACAGGGCAGTTCACTCTGCAGCAGGACCGCCCCCACCACGGGGCCAGCAGAGTGACCCTGGAGGAGCGTGTGTCCCCCTGGGCCTGGTGTCCCTCTCTGTGAGGGGCCTGAGTAGCTGCCACCACCCCTGGGGAACAAGCCAAGTGGCCTGTTTCCGCCCGCCGGTCCCGGGCGCAGCCTCGAGGAGGAGCCGGGAAATCCGGAGGCGGCGCGGCCCCGGCGCCTGGGCTCAGGGAGGGGGCGCCGGCGCCCGGCACCACCCAGATGCGCCAGGGCTGCCAGCATTCCTGGAAGGTAACGCAGCCGCCGCGGCCAGATGTGCATCCCCAGCAGCTGCCCTGCACTCACAAGGTCAGCGCCCGGCTCCAGCCAGCCGCCGCCCCGCCCACCCGGCACCCCCAGGCGGCCGGCAGGAGGGGCGGAGGGCGGCAGCGGGTCCCCCTGGCTCCCAGGGTGCCTGCCCGCCCCCACCCGGAGGCCACGGTCACTTCTGGGGCGTGGGGAGCAGGGAGCAGGGGTCACTTCTGGGGGTGTGGGGAGCAGGGAGCGGGTCTCCTGGCTGCACGACCCCCCTGCCCGCCTGGCAGCGAATCCGCCTCTTTATCTGGAGGACAGCTACAGATGCGCTAATCCCCAGCTGGGCCAGATTTGCTGGCGGCTCCCCTCCGGCAGCCCAGAGCTCCGCGGCTGCGGGTGGGGTGGTCTGGGCTCCACCTCCCCTCTCCCACCTGAGGGTCAAGGGCCAGCCAGGCCGCCCGCTTCCCAGGGAGGAGCCCGGCTTCCTGTCCCCTGGGAGTGACGAGAGAGCTCACGGGCTGCAGCAGGCTCAGCCACCCCCCTGCCACTCAGCCCGTCCTACTGCGAGTCCCCCTCCTGAGCTCAGAACAGCCCTCCCACTGCTGGCGCACTCAGGAGACCCCAGGAGGCTGGGACTGGAATTAATCCTCAGCCCAGACAAAGGAGCTGGGGCCCAGAGGCCCCAGGTTAGTAGAGGCAGGATCATTCTTTTAAAATGACTGAAGCAGCCCAGAGAGGTGAAGTGGCTGGCCTAAGGTGGCCCAGCACTGAGAGGCAGGGTAAATGAACGCCTGAGGGGCAGCTCCAGGAGGAAGGACAGGCTTCAGAGGGTGGGCTCTGCCCCCCAGAGCAGCCCAGGCTGTCAGAGCGCAGACTCCTGGCCCTGGTCAGGCCTGAGGGAGCACAGTCCCCAGGGGGAGGCCTTGGAGTCTGCTCTGGGGCAGGTTTGAGGAGCCCCTCCTCGCGGCTGCCCACGGAGCCATCCTGTGGCCCCTGCCCCGTGTTTGGGGGCCAGGACGACAGCCTGGGCGGCTGCAGGGGGCTCCCGGGTCCTGGGAAGAGCCCACCCCAAGCCAGGCCCCGGGGCTGGTCCAGCTCAGAACCGCCCGGAGAGTCCGATGGACGGACGCCTCCTCCTAACGAGTCCCCGTCAGTCCACCTGCCCGCACCCCACCATCCCGCCACACACACAGACGCGCCCCACACACGCAGGCACACAGCCCTGCCGACAGCCCCCGACACGGGAGCACACGTGAGCACACGCAGACACGGGCCAACACGTGGGTGTCAGGGCGGCTCCCCCAGGAGAGGTCTGTCAACACCCCTGGACATCCCCGGGCTGCGGCCAGCCTCGGCCTCCAGAGAGGCCACAGCCCTCCAGGACGCACTGGAGACTCGGAGCCTGTGGCAGCTCAGCCCAGAGCCACGCGCAGGCACGCCAGGCACGTCACCCGTCCTCAGTGCCCCGGCCTACCCCAAGCCTCAGCTTCCCGTCTGTAAATGGGGTCAGCAGCCCCTCCAGAGCAGGTCACTGGGAGGCTCAGCAGAGGACACTCCCGGCCACCCTCGCAGCGGCCGCACTGCCCAGCCTGGCCCGGGGTGTCTGAGGCCAGGTACCACGCGCCCACCCTGGACAAGTGGACCCCGGTCTGGGGACACTTCCTTCCCCAGAAGAGGAAAGGACAGCAAAGCCTCTGCCCTCCTGTCCCGCCTGGAGGCTGTCACCTGAGAATGTGATGCTTGGCGCTGTGGCAGCTATCTTGCAACATGAGAAAACGACATTTGGATTTGCTTTGCTTTAAGGAAAAGGCCCTTTTCTGTCGGCTTGTGGTTGCAGGCTGCACTTTACACTTCCAAAGCAGTTAAGAGCAGGGATTCTGGCCCCGGCTGCCTGTGTGACCTCAAGGCAAGTTACTTAACTTCTCTGTGCCTTAGTTTCCTTTTCTATTAAACAGGAATGATTTTCTTTATTTTATTTTACTTTATTTTATTGATCTTTTTAAAAATACATGACAGCAGAATGCGTTACAATTTATATCACACACATAGAGCCATTTTTTCCTACCTCTGGTTGTATATAAAGTCCGTTCACACCAACTCGTGTCTCTGTACGTGTACACGGACAGGGATGTCCATCACGTTCCACCGTCCTGGCTGACCCCCTGTCCCCGCCCTTCCCCAGACAGGATAACGTTGAGGAGCGTTAACTGAACGGTTTCCTACACATGGAAACACTCAGCACAGCGCCTGGCGCACAGCAGGGTCGCCTCAGCCAGCGCGGTCAGAGAACGCGGGGTGCGAGGGAGCAGAGGGCAGCCAGGGAGGGGCGCCTGGCGGGATGGACGGCGCCCAGGTCCCAGGAGCTGACCAGGGCCACGAGCTGTGCCCGGCCTTGGCAGCGCTGGGGCTGCGGGGACTCCCTCCCTCCGCGCTGCCAAGCTGGCCGCTGGCCCCAGCCCATGGCTGCCCGCAAGGAGGGTGGCCGGGACAGCGTCCTCCTCCCACCTGCAGGCTGGGCGCCCCCTCGGCCTGGGGTCTGCAGCTGCGCCCCTGCCCCTCAGCCCAGCCGCCCCACTGGGTGGGAGGGTGGAACGCGCCTCCCAGCCTCCAGGGCCTCGCGGGGGAGGCCGGGCCGCAGCCTCCACACCTCGCAGGGCTCTTTCTGGACTCAAGCACAGTCATCTCTGTCCCTCTTCACCCCAAGGCCACCAGGCAGGGCACGGCGCCCGCCACGCCCGCCCACGTGGTCCCGGAGTATCTGGGGGCCCAGCAAGCTGGGGCACCAAGACGGACCGCTGCTCACCACACCCCGCCTGTCCCCAGGCCCCCAGATGGAGCAGTGTCCCTTTGCAGGTGGGACACCAGGCTCAGGGCTGGGTCTCTGCCAGATCCATGGGGCGCCTCTTCCTGCCGGGAGTCCGGTGGCACAGCAGGCGGTTTGGTGCGGGTGGACATGGGGCGCCCTGTGCCTGGACCTGCACCACGAGGATCCTCCAAACCCGACAAGCACCAGCCACCTCCTCCCTGTCACCAAGGAGAAACTGAGACCAGGGGCTGGATGCTTCCGCCGGGAGTCCCCGGCAGTCACCCTCGTGTCCTTTGTCACACTTACTTTGTCACCTGATTTTCCTTAAATCAACTATTTCTCCAGCTGAAATACACTTGGACGCAGGCGGAAGGACGTCGGTGTCACTGCACAGAGCACAGGACGCGGAGGGCGGGAGTGCCTCCACCCCAGCCAGGCGCTGCCACGGCGCCCAGTCCCGCTGCGGGCCAGCAGTGTGGCCTTGCACATGCCCACTCCTCAGGGGGGCGCCTGGGCCAGGTGGGGACTGGGCCCCAGGGAGCAGGCCCAGGGGGACTTGGGGACTCCGAGAGTTGTGGCTTCGGAGCCCCGGCCACTGCAGCCCAGGAAGCAGCTGAGCCCACGGGAGACCCCCGGGCACGCGGCAGGGGCCCTCCTGCTGCCCACAGCAGAAGGCGGCCTCCAGACACCCAGCCCAGGACGGTGACACAGCCTCAGAGGAGACCTGAGCCGGAGCCGTCAGCAAGCTGCTCCCGGGTCTCTGGCCCACGGAGCCACGAGGTCCCCGTGACGAGCTGCAGTGCTTGGGTGTCCGGTCACACACCAGGAGGGGCCCGGCCAGCGCTGGGGCGGCGGAGGCTCTCGGCCAAGGCACCTGGGGGGACGGGCGCATCCCGCCACGGGCTGCCCGGGGGCCACTCTCTCCCCACAGGGATGGCGGGGGCTACCCGTCTGGCCACCGCTCCCCAGGGACCCCGGCTCCTCTCCCCCCCGAG